AAGAGAATCACCTAAGCCCAAGAGCTGGAGGTTGCTGTGAGCTGTGATGCCACAGCACTCTACCAAGGGCAACAAAGTGAGACTCTATCTCTAAAAAAAGTAAATAAGAAAATGGATATTTTTCTAGTTATAACATTAATCTGTAATCATTGTAGAAAGTCACTTCTTTTGATTTTGGGAAGAGTGTGGAGGATAAGAAAGTATGGAATTTTACTGGTTTATGAAATCCTCAGTATAGGAACCACAGGACTAACCTGCAGCCTATAAAGTGCACCATTTTGAGTGTGTACATGGATGAATTTTAAACATTTAATTAAATTTTTTTTTGTAGAGCTGGGAGCTCACTATGTTTCCCGGGTTGGCCTTGAACTTTTAGCCTCTAGCGATCCTCCTGCTTTAGCCTCCTGAATAGTTAGGGCCACAGGTGTTTGCCACCACATCCAGGTAATTTTTAAAATTATTTTTTATTTTTAATTTATTTATTTAGAGATAGGACCTTGCTCTGTTGCATGGGCTAGAGTGCAGTGGTATCATCATAGCTCACTGCAGCCTTGAATTCCTGGCAATTAAACTCAAGTGACTCTCCTCCCCGTAGTCCCAACCACATGTGCATGCCACCATTCTGGGCTAAGTTTTTGTAGAGACAGGGTCTCACTTATGTCCTTCAGGCTGGTCTCAAACTTCTGGGCTCAACTGATCCTCCCTCATTGGCCCTGCAAAGTGCTGGGATTACAGGTGTGAGCCACTATGCCTGCAATTTTTTTTTGTAAAAAGAACAATTATAAACTGTGTAACTTATGAACCTATCGACCTGTCTAACCACCAACTATATCGAGCAATAGAGGACGCTCTTATGGTGTCTCCCACTCAAACCATCCCCCAAAGGTAAACATTATTCTTCCTTTTATCACCTTGAATATGGACCCTAAAATAAGATCAAGGCACTATTTGGAACCTGAGGGACAGGTAAATCTCCCCTTTGTCTAGTTTGGTTTCTTGTCTTCTCAGATGTCAGGCCTTTTTATCACATCTCTCTTTCAAAAAATGTTCTTGAGACTGTCTTTCTGAATTTAAGCATGTAAACTCCACCCATCTAACTCCAGCTCCCCCAGTTATAGGTGGCAGGAGTTTAATCTCTATCCCAAGTGGTTGCTGGATGCTAGTGACTCTGGTCTTGGGCACATTGGGCTGGAGCCCATCAATTCACTATCTCCTTTTGCCTTTCTTCTTCCATCTCTTCTGTGTTTTGAACTGTCACTCCCTGACCTGTTTTATTCTTTTATTCTTTTTTTTTATTGAGACAGAGTCTCACTATGTTGCCTTTGGTAGAGTGCTGTGCAGTCACAGCTCACAGCAACCTCAAACTCTTGGGCTTAAGCGATTCTCTTGCCTCAGCCTCCCAAGTAGCTGGGACTATAGGCACCTGCCACAATGCCCAGCTATTTTTTTGTTGCAGTTGTCATTGTTGTTTAGCAGGACCGGGCCAGGTTCAAACCCATCTGCCTCGGTGTATGTGGCTGGCGCCCTAACCACTGAGCTACGGGAGCTGAGCCCACATTATCTACCTCAAATGGTGTTTGTAAAATTTAAATGAGCCAAAAGTCAAAATAAACCTAGTGTAATGCCCCATAGCAACTCGAGAGCAAACTTAATAGTAGCTTGATACTGTGAAATACACATTTCATCTCTGCCCCTGGTTCCTGAGACAGAGCCCCTAAGACCCTTATAGAAGCGGCCCTAGGAGAATGTTTTGTTCTAATATTTGGTCTCTGACCCCAATTCCTCACCCAGAGCTCCCAAGACCTTTGTAATTTTCTGAGTGATAGGAGCTTCTGATACAGCATTCCTGAGTCCTGTTGAATTTTCCTGGTGATAGGAACATCTTTTTTTCTAATGAGGTGACTCTTGGTTGGGTCCTGATAGCCTCAGGGTTGGGGCTGGTTTTCAGGGGAACCAATTATGTGGTTAGAGAGTTGGAACTTTCGACTTCATGCCACCCTTTGGCTAAAGGTCAGGTTGATCACCAGTGGCCAGTGATATAAGCAATTATGCCTGCATAGCACAGCCACCATAAAAATCCAAAAGGACAGAGCTCAGGGAGCTTCCAAATCACTGAACAAGTCGAGATTCCTGGAGGGTGTTGTGCCTAGAAAGGGCACAGATGGTTCGTGCCCCTTTCTGGTTTCCTACTGTCCTATGCATCTCTTCCATCTGTCCATGTGTCTGTATCCTTTGTACCCTTTATACCAAGCCCATAAGTGCAGGTGCTTCCCCAAGTGCTATGAGCTGAACTAGCAGATTAATTGGACCCAAGTAGAGGGTCATGGGAACCCCCATTTATAGATAGTTGGTCAGAAGTGTAGGTGACAGCCACTACTTGTAATTGGTGTCTCAAGTAGGAGGGACCCTTTTGTGGACCTGAACCCTAAACTATTGGAATCTGCTGCTATCTCCAGCTAGATAGCGTCTGAATTGAATTAAATTCTAGGACACCCAGCTGGTGTTGCTGGAGAACTGATGGTTGTTGGTGGGGAGAAATCCCCACACATTTTGGTGACTAGAGGTGAAGGGCGCATTTTTAAAGGGTAAATTTTGTGGCAAGTGAATTATATCTCAGTAAAATTGCTATGATTTCTATGTGTAACCATATCATGAAAAGACTTCCCCTGAG